TCTATTCATAAGCAAAGCAAATACTGCAGGCAGACATCCATTCAAGACAGGATATTTGAAACTGCTTGCAGCAAAGTTTGACAGTTAACAAAAGCAGAACGATAGGATTAGAAGCAGCCCCTCACCCAAGATCCAACACAGGACGAAAGCCAATTAGCCACAATAGGAATTACCCAACACCCTTTCAGAACACAAGCCTCTTCATTGCAGTCCAAACTTCAAAGTCACAGAAACCTGGGAGCTCAGATAAACAATAAGCCAGAGGTTGACCACATTAGCTCAGACAAACACCTAGGATTTGCATTTCCCCTACATGACCCATAGGAATCTGACAACAGCCAATAGAATATTAAAGAACATGTTCTTGTATAGGAACAGGAAGCTCAAATACAAAGCCCAAAGAAGGTATAAAAACCCATCCACTCTCAACTCCATTTTGTCAGCTGTCTAGAATCACATGTGGTTCTGCTTCATCAATAAACCATCTTTCCAATCAGCCTCCATGTTTCCAATGTCTTTCTCCCAGCTTGGAACTGAACCTGATGGATTTTTCTTCCAGCAGAAGCATTAAGTTGGTTCTCTATATGCTCTCATTGCTCTCTCCCACCTGCCCCCAGTTTATAGCAATCATTTATTTCTTTGACAACAGGAAATAGCTGATAATAGAATTCTGCATTTGTTTTGCTGCCTTCTCCGCATATCTTGTGTTTATTTTGTCTGACATCCGCTTGAAGTATACAAAAGAGATAAAGAAAAGAAAAGGAGGATGGGGGAAGCAGACCAAGTATGCAGATGAAACCAGAGAACGGTTTGTCACTCTAATGGTGCTCTGCATAAAAATGACAAGAAGACCCCTGAATTTTTTCTCCCCATATACCTTATAGAGAAATCAAGTGGGTTTAAGCAAGCCAAAAGTATTGAGGAAATAAACCACAAGCTGACAGGCCCTGCCAGTAATTTCAAACAGATAAAAGGAAAATAAAGACGCCCTGTCTGTACTAATAATTTTAGAAATGATCAGTGGATAGGAAGGTGGTTTTTCCACTTCTTGTTAGGGTTGCCAGGTGTCCACTATTTGAGCGGACAGTCCACTTTTTTCACATTATGTTCACTATTTTTTTTCACAAAATAGTGGACATTTTTTTTATTCAAAAGCTTTACGATGAAATGGTACGTAATCTAAAGCTGTACAGTCTAAGAGAATAAGGATAGGAGAATCGTGTTTTGTTTGTTTTTTTTCATAAGTTAGAATGAGACAAAGATCGAATGCTCATTGCAATAATCACATTTTACACAACAGTGCAAAAAATGCATTTAAAGCAGTTATCTTTTGATATCGAAAATGTAGTGCTGAAGGTTTTTGCTGAATTTTCGAATTCTGCGAAGAAACGAGAAGAGTTGAAATCATTTTTTGAGTTTTGCGAGTCAGAATTCCATGAAGTTTTGCGCCATATTCCAACACATTGGTTAAGTTTGTTTAAAGCGGTCGAAAGACTTCTTTTAAACTGGATACCTCTAAAATCATATTTTATTTCTTTTGGATCTGATGAGTGCCATAAGGTTATCTGGAACCTTATTTCGGATCAGGAAAATGAACTCGCAAAGAACGATGAACCAACAATTTCAGAATTGTATATATATTTCACGCACTTCTTCATGTCAATAATGCAAGACACCCTACTGAAGCTGGAAAGCAAGAAAACTCTTGCCTGTGATCTTCACATTATCATGTGTAAGCTGCGTGATTCTTTGCAAAAAAAATATGATGAGCAGTTTTTTGGAATGAAAGTTTTATTTGCCCTATGTAAAAAACATTTGCCTGAGAATGCTGTGCAAAAGTTCAAGAAAAAAGCCATCAATGTGTATCAAAGAGCCATTGCGTACCTAGAGTGGTAAATATAATAAGTGGTATAATTTCACCGATTCAGTAGATGCTAAGTTGTTTCAATCTAATTGATCGCAATAATCCTCCAACTTTAGAAGAAATGACAAACATCTGATTATTATCACTATGGCGAGAAGAAATTCCACGCAACACTCTCTTCGATGAAATTTCTGCCTTAGAAGAAGTTTATGTTCATCTGCAGGGCGATTCATCCCTTGATAAGTGGACGTACTTTTTCAAGAAAGAGCCAGCTCCGAGTTTACTGAAACTGTTCCAGTATTGTGCATCAATTCCGGTATCAAATGCAAACGTTGAACGAATTTTCAGCGTCATGGGAAATTTGTGGACTGAACGTAACCGACTGCTTGTATCAGTTCGAAGTGAACTTTGTGTACTTTTTAATATTTCTCAACGTTGTACTGAAATTAAAGAATTATTCCTTAAACACAAAGAATTGATCAAAGCTGCGCAGTCAAATAAAAAATACACACGACAGCAAAGTAAAATGTAATTTAATATTTTACATATTATTATAATATATTTGATGTTTTGAATTTTAAGTAAAGTTTTGAAGTGATTATTTTAATACGTGTTAAAATGTTTGTAAGAAAATATATAATTTAATTGTAAAAAATTTTTAAATTTTTTTATTACTTAACCCCCTCCCTCCCCCCCACCAGCTTGTCCGGTATTTTTTGGAAGCAGACCTGGCAACCCTACTTGTTTCCCTGGATAAAATTAAAAATTTTCCTGAGCAAGATGTCTAGCTTTTGCAAAATGGTGGAATAACTATAGACTCAGAATAGTTTTCACATACTGCATCCTACAGTTGGTCACTGTGTGAGAATCTGGACGCTGAATTATGATCTAAATAGCAAGCTTTTCTTACACTTGAATAGACATGATAATCTCCCAGGAGTTTATATATTGCTATAACTGTTCCTTACTTAATGACCAACAATTCTAACTGTTGTTTAAAATTAGGAGAGGGAGTTACCATATTTTTCGGAGTATAAGACTATAAGACGCACCTACCTTTTTGGGGGAGGAAAACAAGAAAAAAAAATCTCCCTCTGACTCCCAGCAATTTGCCTCCTTGCGGCAAACAGCAAAAAATGGAGGCTGAAAATGGGGCGCGCAGAGGCAGCAATAGGCAATGGCAATCCCTGCAGCCTGAAACAGCTGATGGTCGGGAAGGCCAATCCAAAGGACAATCAGCTGCTTGTGCTAATCAGGCTTTGATGAAGCTGAAACTGAAATGGGCTGTTTGCTGTTTGCTGCAAGGAGGCAAATTGCTGGGAGGCAGAAGCCAAAGGGTGGGGGCTGGAGAGTGGGCGGGGCTACATTTGGTATATAAGACGCACCTAAATTTTCACCCTCTTTTAGAATATTACCAAAAAATACGGTAATATTCTCATCTGTATGTAATTTCTCTTCTGTCCTGAACTCTGCTGGAAGTCAATTGTGCTGTTCAGTTTAATCCCAGTGATGGATTAAATAATTTAACATTATTTCTCTGCCCTAATGACTGCCTGGGTAGGTGTGGCTGAATGGTCATGTGACTGGGTGGGCATGGCCAACTCAACATCACTCACCAGCCCCACCTCCCAGCTGTTCACCTCAAAGGCCTCAACAAGATACAATTTCCGTCTCTATTTATTTACTAATACTGAACATCACTTAACAACGGTGACAAGGGAAATCACAAAACAGAGCAAAACTCACTTAAATCTTGCTTAGCAATGGAAATTTTGGCTCAGTTGTGGCCATAAGTCAAGGACTACTCCTCCTAATGAGAATGTAGGATAAGGAGCCTACTTTGCTCACCCCTTTAGGGTGACTTTCAAGAAACATTTCAAGACTTGGACTGGACTGCTCTCTACATGGGGCTCCCCTTGAGGAGCACTCGGATGCTCCAGCTGGCGCAGAGTGCGGCTGCGTGGGTGGTTATGGGAGCGATGTGGCGTTCCCATGTAACACCTCTCCTGCGCGAGCTGCACTGGGTCCCGGTGGTCTTCCAAGTGCGCTTCAAGGTTTTGGTTATCACCTTTAGAGCACTCCATGGCTTAGGACCTGGTTATCTACGGGACCGCCTGCTACCACCAATAGCCTCTCACTGGCCAGTACGCTCCCATAGAGAGGGGCTCCTCCGGGTGCCGTCAGCCAAACAATGTTGACTGGCGGCCCCTAGGGGGAGAGCCTTCTCTGTGGGGGCACCTACGATCCGGAACGAGCTCCCCCCGGAGATATGGAGGATCCCAGATCTGCGCATCTTCCGTTGCATGCTCAAGATTTTCTTATTTCATCAAGCTGGCCTGGCCTAAATCTTTCCCCTTTTAAATGTAAATTTTAATTTGTTTTTAAATTATTGGGTATTTTAAATTTGTCTCAGCCAAATTATTTAATTCATTTTTATTCTATTTTAAATTTTTGTATTTATGTGTTTTATTCTGTGGCTGTTCACTGCCCTGAGTCCTTCGGGAGTAGGGCGGTATATAAATCCAATAAAAAAAAAAACAAAACAAAAGGCTTGAAAGATTTTGGGTGCAGGTTGTAGTGGTGCTGATGAATTGGGTCCGCTTCTCTCCTCGGTTGAGTTCGGCCGAGGGCCACCAGAGGGAGTTGGGGAATCTGAACAAGGGCAGCACGCCTGGCGAGAAGGCCCTTCAGTCACTTTTCATGAGACAGGATGCTATAAAGCCTCCATGGCCTCATGTGGTGCTACCCAGCTGCCTCAGGAACAAGGGGGAATAAAGAGGCCAGATGACAGGCTGAAGCATTGCTTGCTTTGCTCTCCCACCTCCGCTCAAGCAAGTTTAATGTCTTTTCTCTTCCCACGTGGCCCTCTTGATCTTTGAGACTGTGGCTCCCTATATAAGAAAACTGGCTGTGAGAGGAAGAGAGGCTAGGTGAACCAGATCCATATGCTTCCTAACTCCCCTCATCCCAGAAGCACCAATATTGCACTCTCCCCTCTCTACTAGCCTTCTCCCTCTCCCTTCCTGCTTCTGAGTGATCCCATGTCAAGAAGCGGGCAGCCACTAGCAGAGAGGGAAGAGTGCAATGTTGGTGATTCTGGACAAGGGGAGCCAGGAAGCATCTGGGTCCTGCTCACCCAGCCTCTCTTCCTCTTGCAGCCACATGTGCTGCCGCTGCCATTCCAGAGGGTGGGGGGAGCTGGGAGGCCAGGCACTCCCACAACCTGACGAGGTGGACAAGCGAGAGAGGGCAGGCTGGCAGAGGGGTGATGCAGGTGGTGCAGCCTTGTGCTCTGGCTGTTGGCAGCCACTGCAAGTGAGGCCCAGCAGCAGCAAAGAGTCCAGGCAGGGGCAAGATATGGGCTGGGGGAGGGGGCCAAGCAGCAGCAGCTCAGTCTGGCTAGCCTTCCTCTCTGCCACCAGCTGCAGCAGGAAGGGAATGGCAGGTGGAGTTCAGGGGTCATAGCCAGCCAGAATAGTCGAACTGCTTCCTAGCCCAATGTCAGGGTTCCAAATAACACCCCCAACCAAGTAAGACTCCGAGGCAGGCAATTCTTCAAAGTTCCATTTTATTAGAGATGTCATATTGGCACATCTGGGAAAACCTGAATCTGAAGGCCCCCGGGACACTCACATGTCCATCACATGGTCCAATCAATCCTCCGTCCCAACTGGGGATGTTTCCCAGTCACGCCTCTCCAGGTGCAGGCTGAACATCCTTGATTCCCAGAGAAAAGAATGTTCTTATGGCTATCTATCATCTACCCTCTCCAAGCAACTCCCAGTTTCCCACAGCAGGCCTATGCACTAAATGTGGTAGCCCTGAAGATCCAAAGAAAAAAACCTGCTCCCCCTCAACCAAAGCCCTGAAGAGCCAAAGAAAAAGACAGGCTGCTCCCCCCCACAACCAAAACGCGTGTCCTGAAATGAGAGGAGCATAGGAAATTAATTCAGTCAGTTTCTAACCACCTCTCCCCCGCACCAGAAGGACTCTTTGGCTTATCAGGGAATTTATCATGTAATTGCTTTACCAGTCTATCTGCTTTCACATCCCAACTCTTAACCCAGGTAATTGTAATTGACCCTTATGTAATCTAGAGTCCAAAATCCTCTTAACTTCATAAGGGGTTTCCCCTTGCACCACTACCAGTTTGGGAGCTGGATGGGTTTGTGATCTCAACCTTGAACTAAACACAGACTTTAGCAAGCTGCTGTGAAAGACTGGATGTACTTTCCCTAATATGCATGGGAGGTTAAGCTGAACTGTTACAGGGTTAATTACTTTCACTATCGGGAAAGGTCCTAAGAATTTAGGTCCTAGCTTTCTGCTGGGCAATTTCAATTTTATATATTTGGTTGACAGGTACATTCGATCTCCCAGGGGAGATTTGGGGGCTGGAGAGATCAGTGTTTGTTGGCTCGTTTTTTGTACACTTCTGCTAGTGCGTTCTTGGTGTTTTCCCAACCCTTTTTTTAATGACTCCATCAATTTGGTTAAAGTCATGGAAGAGGGTGGCTCTCTTGGCAGCTCAGGCATGAGAATGAAATCTATGCCACTGGTAACCTGAAAGGGGGTCAATCTAGTGCTGCTATGCACAGTGTTGTTGTAAGCCACTTCTGCAAAAGGCAGATCTACCCAGTCTTTTGCAGAAGCACTGCTGCCACTGCTACATCGCTGGCATCGGCTTGGACGATGAACTGTCTTTCCGGATTGGGGTGCTGGAGGATTGGCTCCTCTGCAAAAAGCTGCTTCAATTTCTCGAATGCTCTTTGATAATCCAGCAACCAGGCCAGCAGTTGGGTTGGCTGTGGTTTCGAAGGAGGGATCCCCATTTTCAATAGTTCTGTTAGGGGCAGGGCCACCTCTGCAAATACTGGAATGAATTTATTTATTTATTTATTTATTTATTTTATTTATTTATTTATTTATTTATTTAAAATTTATATACCGCCCTTCTCCCTGAGGACTCAGGGCGGTGTACAGCCAGAATTAAAAAACATAAAATACAAATATTAAAAAACAATTAAAATATATATAAATTTGGCCCAAAATTAAAAATACAAACCAATTAAAACATTTAAAATTTCTTCTTAAGCCAGCCCGGCTTGCTGGAAAAAGTGGGTTTTAAGGGCACGGCGGAAGGCACTAAGGTCTTGGATTCTCCTTATCTCTGGGGGCAACTGATTCCAGAGGGTAGGTGCCCCCACAGAGAAGGCCCTCCCCCTGGGGGTCACCAGCCTACATTGATTGGATGATGGCCCCCTGAGGAGGCCCTCTCTGTGGGAGCGCACGGGACGATGGGAGGTCGTCGGTAGCAGCAGGCGGTCTCGAAGATAGCTAGGCCCGATGCCATGGAGCGCTTTAAAGGTGATAACCAGCACCTTGAAGTGCACCCGGAAGACCACTGGGAGCCAGTGCAGCTCACGCAGGAGCGGTATTACATGGGAGCGCCATGCTGCTCCCGTCACTACCCGTGCTGCTGCATTCTGGACCAGTTGGAGCCTCCGGGTGCTCTTCAAGGGGAGCCCCATGTAGAGAGCGTTGCAGTAGTCAAGGCGAGAGGTGACGAGGGCATGAGTGACTGTGCACAGGGAATCCCGATCAAGAAAGGGCCGCAACTGGCGGATCAGGCAAACCTGGCAAAAGGTCCCCCTGGTTACAGCTGTCAGATGTTCCTCCAAGGACAGCTGCATATCCAGGAGGACTCCCAGATTGCAAGCCCTTTCTGTGGGGGCCAAAGACTCGCCCCCAATAGTCAGTGATGGAGTCAACTGACTATATCGGGATGCCGGGAGCCACAGCCACTCAGTCTTGGAAGGGCTGAACTTGAGCCTGTTCCTCCCCATCCAGATCCCCACAGCCTCCAGGCACTGGGACATCACTTCAAGGGCATCATTGGGGTGGCCTGGGGTGGAGATGTACAGCTGGGTGTCATCAGCGTACTGGTGGTATCTCACCCCGAAGCCACGGATGATCTCGCCCAGCGGCTTCACATAAATGTTGAACAGAAGGGGCGAGAGAAGAACCGATCCCTGCGGCACTCCACAGACGAGAGGCCTCGAGGTCGACCTCTGCCCCCCTGCCAACACAAACTGCGACCGGTAGGAGAGAAAGGAGGAGAACCACCGCAACACGGTGCCTCCCACCCCCAACTCTTCCAGCTGGTGCAGCATGATACCATGGTCGATGGTGTTGTTAAAGTGTTCAGTTTTGGCGATAGTTCTGGTCTTTTTAAAGACAATATCATGTCCTGTGGCTTTAAGGTGTTGGACCAGGGAAGAAGTTGGTTCCTCTTTTCTGACTGAGTTCTTGTGTTCTTCTATGCGTGCACTTATTCGTCTGTTGGTTTGTGCGATGTATGTGGTGAGGCAGGCGGTGCATGGGATTTCATATACCCAATCAGAACACAGCCAAGTTCCCACCCAATCAGCTCACACCCCCACTAGCAGTTAAAAGGAAGAGACAGCTGCGATCTCACATTTGCTCCTGGACGCACGAAGCCGAGAACACCAGCCTGAAGATGACGAATGAGACTTCGTTGAAACGTCGCCAAGATACTTCCAATTTTACGTGGGAGAAGACCCGAATAACCAAAGACCTACATATAGACTCAGGGCGGCTTACAATGTGCTCAGCAATAGCCTTCATCCTTTTGTATATTTATACAAAGTCAGCTTATTGCCCCCACAACTGGGTCCTCAATTTACCTACCTTAGAAAGGATGGAAGGCTGAGTCAACCTTGAGCCTTGGAGAGATTCGAACCTGCAGTAATTGCAGGCAGCTGGTCTGAATAACCAGCTTAATAACAGGGTGCCTTAGACCACTGTACTACCAAGGCTCTTGAAGAATTGAAGAATAATTATTAATAAGGGGGGGGAATGTTGGGTGATAATTAAAATGAAATGGTAAATTTTGAGATCTCTGTGTAAAAGTTTAAGAATATGATAGGATAGATTGGGTTTAGAAAACGAGAAAAATAGAAAGAAATTTTGATTAATAAATTGAAATAAAAATTGAGTTGTATACATTTGGAAATTAAGATTTGTGGTGATAAAATTGTAAGGTAAATATATAGATTAATAGAAAAGATTGTTTTTGTGCTTAATGTTGATGTCAAAAGGAGCAAGGGATAAAAAATTTAGATAAAGCGGTATTGAATTCTGATTTATAATTGAATTTATAATTGAATATAAAAAGGAGCTTTGCCTTAGTAGGAGATTAGGATGTATGATGAGATAATAGAAAAATTTATTAAGATGTTGGAATTTATGTTAAAATGCTTCTCATTTGTTAAATTAGTGTACCCATTTGTGATCGGACCAAGACTTCGTTCTTGAAAAATTTTTATTTTTTATGTTTATGTTGGAAAAAATAAAAAAAATTTAAAAAAGAAAAATATTAGGCGAAATGAAGAGATAAAAGGGATGAAAATAAAAAAAGAAGAGTATAAACTGCAAGCTTTTGCAGATGACTTAATATTCATCTTAGAGGAACCACAAACAACAGGTCCCAAATTACTAGAACAAATAAAGAATTATGGAAAGGTGTCTGGTCTAAAAATAAATAAAGATAAAACAAAAAATATTACAGAAAAACACAAAAAAGAGATAGAAGAGTATTTAGATATACAAATAGTGAAAAAAGTTAAATACTTAGGAGTCTATCTAACTTCAAGATGTGTAACGATAAAAGAGGATGATTGTTATAGATTAAAACAACAAATCGAGAAAGACTTGGAGAAGTGGAAGAATCTTCAATTGTCACTAATGGGAAGGATTGCAATAATAAAGATGAATATATTACCAAGATTATTATTCATATTTCAGACAGTACCGATAAAAATTGAAAAGATTTATTTTCAACAGCTTAATAAGATAATAAGGAAATTTATATGGCAAGGGAAAAAAGCAAGAATAAGCATAAAAATGCTTCAGGACATGAGATTACGTCCTGAGGGTTTGGGTTACCGAATTGGGAATTGTATTACCAGGCAGTAGCATTGACTTGGATGAAGAAATGGGTTGAATTAAGAAATACAAGACTATTAACACTGGAAGGTCATGATTTACAATTGGGATGGCATGCATTTTATGGTATGGTAGAAATAAGATATATACGTACTTTCATAGACACTATATAAGGAATGCATTATTGGTATGAGAGAAGGTTAGAGATAAATGTTATCTGAAAATACCAATATGGTTATTAACAATGATACACCCAAATGTTTTTAATGTTGGAAATATTGTTAGATATAAGGACTTATTAACAGATAAGGGGGATTTGAAAGAGAAATGAGAATTGGAAGAACAAGATTGAGATGGATTGGTATATGTACATGGAGATACAAACAAGATATGAAAAAGATGCTAAATTATATGGTTTTCACTTAGAAAAAACAGAGTTGGATGGGATACTCACAGGAAGTGGATAAATTAATTTTAAAAATCTATAATTTATTACTTGGCATTGAACTGGAGGAGGAGCAAGTAAAGAAAACAATGATAGCCTGAGCAAAGAATTTTGGATATTCAATAGATCTAGATAAATGGCAACAGTTATGGGAAAGGAATTATAAATTAACAATGTCCACTGCATATAAGGAAAATCAATATAAAATGTTTTATAGATGGCATATGTCCCCTGAGAAACTGGCAAAAACGTTTAAAGATAAAGCAGTTAAATGTTGGAAATGTCACCAGTTACCAGGTTCTTATTATCATATGTGGTGGACCTGTCCAGAAGCTAAAAATTATTGGAATAAAATTAAGATATGACTGGAAGAAATGATACAACAACATATTGATTTAAAACCAGAACTGTTCCTATTGGGTATCCTGCCAGAAAAAATTAGGAAAGAAAATATTTATTTGATTATACATGTAATAACAGCTGCAAGGATTGTTTATGCACAACATTGGAAAGCAGAGAAAATTTCTTTGGAAGGAGAAGTAATTAAAAAAAAATTAGATTGTGCAGAAATGAATAGATTGACTTTGATGATTAAAGAAGGAGAAGATTCAAAATACTTTAAGTTATGGAATCAATTCTACTATTGATTAGAAAAGAGATATAAATAAGTAAATTAATAATTATGTATAAAAATGCTATAATTAGAATATTTTGTTAGTGATGAATTGTTGTAATTGTTTCGATGAGAACAAAGAGAAGAAATAACAAAAAGAACGATTGGAGACAACATCGAGATGTCACATGGAACGAATGACTTATGTATGAAATGTTTGTTTGTTTTTAAAAAAAATTTTTTAAAAAAAGAGAATTGAGAAAAGGTACATGCCAATACTGAATTTTTTTATGCCTGTTAGTCAGAGGTCTCCAATAAATGAACATTCACCCAGGCACATTAAATATAAATCCGAGAGTAGCTCAGGTACTGAGTATAGTTCAGTCTGAACTATACTCAGTCTGAGTATAGTTCAGAGGAATGTTTGGAGAGAGAGATTTCAGTGAAATAAGAACATTTTATTCCAAGGAGATCTGAAAAAGCAAACAAACGTGTTCCTCCAGAAAGATTGATAAGGTAAAAGTGTGTAACACTCTTAGAGCCTCAAAATTACCAGGAAGTATTAAATTTACCTCTGGCAAAACAAAAGAAATGGAAAGAGGCAATGGATGAAGAGATGTCTATGTAAAGTCATAAAGTTTTCACTCCAATGAGGTTACAGATAGATGTACAAAAAGAAACTTTTGATGTATGATAAAGTACAATATAAAGCAAGGTTAGTTGCCCAAGGCTTCACACAAAAGAAAAATGTTCTTTTTTTAAAAAAAGTTATTTTTATTTCTCATAAACACATTTACATGTACGGT